GTGTGTGTGTGTGTGTGTGTGTAGGAGCGGCCGCAGGGGTGTTTGACGGAGGGGTGGGTGTGTAGGAGCCGGGCCGAAAGGACGTAGGGGTGCAGGGTGTGCGAGTGTGTGTAGCAGGGATGACGTGAAGGGGAGGAGCCCGGGGCTCTAGCGGCTGGATGGCCGGAAGCCGGAGGGGGGCGCCACGGGCATTTCCCACTCGCGCGCGCAGAGGACCGAACCCGGGGAGCGGCGTGGCGGCTGGGAGCCTCTGGCGGCCCCGGCCCCTCAACCGAGGGAGCGCCTCGCGAGGTAAGGCGCGCGCCTGGCCGGCTCCCTCGGCATGCCCGCGCCCGCTCCGAATTCAACCTCGTCCCGCCGGGGGCTAAGCTCAGAGCCCACGGAACTTCCCAGCCCGGGGTCGGCGACGAGGATCGACCCGTAAAACAGCACGCAGGGCCGGCTTGCTTGCTCGCTTGCTTGATTGCAGCAGATGCCTACTACTTGCGACAGGCAGCAGCCTGCAAAGCTTGAGTCTATGGAAACGGTTGCCAGAGTCGGCGACCAGCGGCTTCCGCAAGTCCTTTGTCGCTTTGATAACTATGGAGCGACGGGACCAATACGGCGCTCCTTCCGGTTTCGTTCCCGCTCGCCGCGTTCTTCTTTACCAAGTTTGCCTTTGACCCCGGAAGTGAGGTCTTCCGCGTTCCTCCCTCCCGCAAGATGGCAACAGCCGAAGACGAGTTACTGCTACCGCGGCTCCCCGAGCTGTTCGAAACCAGCAAACAGCTTCTAGACGAAGTGGAAGTAGCGACTGAACCCACCGGTTCCCGAGTGATCCAGGAAAAGGTGGTCAAGGGACTAGACCTCCTTAAGAAGGCTGCCGAAATGTTATCGCAGCTCGACTTGTTCAGGTAATGGGGGACAGGGTACTCACGGTTGAGAACGGAGGTAATAATGGTTATCAAGGGTGGAGCCATTGAGCCTGGGTGGAGGAGACCCTTCCAAAAGGCTCCTAGGAACCTTTTATTCCTGCCTCCCACCGCGATCTCCTGTGCATTGTTTACATTCTCCACCTGCCTTCGAGATGGTTGCTATCCCCCGTCTCTGCTCCCTAGTGTTGGCTGTTTGCATAGGCATTGGGTGTGAGCGGACAGCCACTTTCATTCCTCCTGCCTTCTCCCTCCACACACCCACCGCTGTCCTCCCCTCCCCCCCCCCCCCCCCCGCCAGGAAACAAGGGCTGTAATGCCCGTCCAGGCTTCACAGCCTCCTCTTTGCTCTTTCCAGCCGAAATGAAGATTTGGAAGAGATTGCTTCCACCGACCTGAAGTACCTGATGGTGCCAGCATTTCAAGGAGCACTCACCATGAAACAAGTCAACCCCAGCAAGCGTCTAGATCATTTGCAGTGGGCTCGAGAACACTTTTTAAACTACTTAATTCAGTGCCGGTACTATCATGTGGCAGAGTTTGAGCTGCCCAAAACCAAGAACAACTCAACTGATAATAACACTGCTAGTTCCTCCATGGCCTATCCTAGCCTTGCTGATATGGCATCTCAAAGACAAGCTAAAATAGAGAGGTGGGTCAGTAGCTATAATTTGAGGACTGCCCAATGGCAGTGCTGTTGGGGCGGGGTGCATGTTTTGGGGGGCGGGGAGGGGAACAGTGGTGTCTGTCACTCTTTTGGTTCCTGTTGAGCGTTAGGACCTGATGAGAGTCAACTCTCTTGAGTTTTTCAAGAAGCCCTTGCTTTTGTTGAGATGGTCATACCTAACCATCAGGCCCCTGCTACCCTATGGTTGCCAACAACAGAATGTAGTTTAGCATAGTGTCTCCCAATTTTTTCCCACATCACAGCATAGCATTATTCATATGTACAGTGGGGTAGATATCTCTGAATGGCACAACATCTTGTAGCTATAATCCATTGATGATCCCCTGAGTGAGAAGTTCTGTTCAAACAGAGTAATGGATCAGGCGTGTAACATCCTGAACTAATCTTAGTCCTAGCACAGCTCCATCGTGTGACCTTGAACAAGTTGGCTTACTCTCAGACTTAAAAAAAACATGGAATGAGTGCTCACAGTGTCTAGGAGCCACTGTAGGCACTGGAGATACAAACTGAATGGGGGAGTTCAAGTAAGTACGGGTGGTCTCCACCTTGGAGGAGTATATAGTCTGGTGAGGCAAAGAGGTATAGAAGCAAAGTAGCAATATAAAATAATGTGATAGAGAAGACAGGAGGGAAACCTAACCAAAGGGAGCAGGAGAGAGGAGAAGGCTCCCTGGAATAGATGGCTCCTGTGACAAGTTGTTTAAGGATGACTAGGAATATTATTTGGAGGAAGAGGAAAGGAGGGCATTAGCCAGAAGAGGTACTAGTGTTAGTAAAGCCACAGGGGCACTGAAGAGCACAGTGCTGGGGTGGGGAAACAACTCAGCGATTAGATGATGCTGGAACATGAAGGGGGGCGTGGAGAAGGGGAAGGAATGATGCTGAAGAATGTTGTGGGGTCCAGACCAAAGAGAGCTTGGGATGTGAGGAAGGTGAAGGAACAGCCCTCCTGCTAAGAACTTGGGGAGGGATTTGAATCCCAGTTCCACCATTTAATCACTCTCACTTTGGGTAAGTTGCTTAATCTCTTGGTGCCTTACTTTCCCCAGCTGTAAAATTGGATAATAATCGGTCTTTCTTCATAAAGTCGTTTTGAAGGTGAAAAGAGAAATACACAAAAAGCACTTAGCACAGTGGCGGATGCAGTAAGTACTCAAAGTCAGCTATTGTTCTGTCTTCGTTGCTGAGTACAGGTTGTGGAGTCAGAGGCCTGGGTTTGAGACCCAGCTTTACGTATAAGCCATTGGACTTTGGGCAAGTCATTTAACTTCTCTGAGCCTCAGGATTCCTCATGTGTGAAATCACATTTAAGTAATAAGGGTACCTGTCTTGTAGGATTAAGAAACATAAATAAGATAGAGCACATAAAACAGCACAGTATCTGGCACATAGTTAATACTATATGAATGTCATTTACTAGTAGGCCATGCTAAAGAACCTAAACTTTGGTTCGTGACTGGGATCCACTGGAGGTTTTTGGTGTTGGGGTTTTTTATTTTTATTTTTATTTTTTTTAAGATTTTATTTATTTATTTGAGAAACAGAGAATGAAAGACAGAGAGCACGAGAGGGAAGAGGGTCAGAGGGAGAAGCAGACTCCCTGCTGAGCAGGGAGCCTGATGCAGGACTCGATCCCGGGTCTCCAGGATCATGACCTGAGCCGAAGGCAGTTGCTTAACTGACTGAGCCACCCAGGCACCGGTGTTGGGGTTTTTTAAAGAGGAGCGTGGTCATGTCTGCATTTTGACTAGCACACAGTGGCAGCAGTTAGGAAGCGGTATGACAGAGTTAGGTCACAAGTGACAAGGCCTCACTACGGCAATGGCAGAAGAGATGAGGGGGATATATTTATTTAGAAGGGTTGAATCTGCAGAAAACCTGGTGATCAGTTCGTTCTGGGAGGTGGGGTAGACGGAGGCAACAAGGAAGATGTCCATGTTTCTGTCATACGCGCATGGCTTGTGGAACTCATTAAGATGGGGAATAGAAGAGGAAGAACAAATCAGGATAGGAGAGCATATGAATTCAGTATTGAGCCATGTTGGCATTTAAGGTGTCTAGAGGTCATCCAAGTAGAGGTATCTGGTAGTGTGTGGCTCAGGGGAGAGGTCTGGGCTAAAGAGCCGAAAATCAATTCATTCATTTGGCAAATATGTATTGAGCCTTTCTTGTGGGCCAGGAACTGTTCTAAGTAATGGAGAACCAGATGAAATCCATGCCCTCATGAAGCTTTTATTTCAGTGGAGGAGACAGACAATAAGCTGGTAAATAACAATGGAAGTTCAGGTGGTAATGGTCTACAAAAGAATAATGAAGCATGGTTCAGGGTTAGTTTGTGACAGTGACTAATTTTTGAGGAAATGGGAGAGGCTGATAGGAAGTGGAATTCAGCGTCCTGTCTTTTGTAAGAAGATGGGAGCAGCCCACTGGCATGTAACAGGTAGTTAAACAGTGAGTTTGGTATCCAAATAATTATAGTACACCCCAAAATAGGACTGTAAATGTCATAGAGATAGAGGGTTCTAGAGAAAGACCAGGGAGTGAGCAGGAGGGATGAGGACAAGGCTTCAGCATGTCATGCATGTGAGATGAGCCTTGAATCGTGCTTAAAAACAGAAATCAGAGATTTTCCTAAATGTAAAAGTAATAATAGTCACTGTAGAAAGTCAGAAAAACAGTATTTTTTAAATTAAAAAGGCCTCAATCCTAGCACTCGGAGATGATCTTTGTTAACTTCCTGGTGTATTTCCTTCCAAATACATAGTTATTATAGTTAATAAGTTTGGAATAATGCTGTATATATATATATAGTTTTTTTCTCCTTTTCAAACCTAACATTATATTGTGAACATTTCCCCATGTCTCTTGAAACCATGCTATTTAATGGTTGCATAATTTTGCATGCCATAGTTGTACCATCATCATTCAGACTAATCTTTTACTGTCAAATACTTAGACTATGTATAGGTTGGGGTCTTCTTTTATTTGTTTTTGTTTTTGCTCTTCTAAGTGGTATTATGAACAGACTTCTTTAACTGCATCTGTCACTGTTTCCGTAGAGTAGATTTCTAGAAGGACCGGTGACTTAGATCAAAGGGTTTAAATATTTTAAGACTCTTGATGGTAGCAACATTGCTATCCACAACAACAAGAGTTTTAGAATATATCCCACTGCCCTGGTCTTAGATGTTAACACTTAGAAAATCCAATTGGGAAAACCAAAAAAGGTATCTCATTGTTTTTATTTGCATTTCTTTGGCTAGAAAGCTTGGTCTTTGAACATTTTTTTAAAATGTCTGCCAGACAAGATAATAGTGTTATCTTTATGCTAATGGATCCCACATTTACATCACTAGCCCAGACTTTTCCTGACCCTCAGACTCATCCTTCCAACACCCTGCATGGATGTTTCAGAGACGTCTCAAACTTAACATGGCCTAAATTGAACCCTTGGCTTTTTAACCCCCAGTGTGCCCCCACACCCAGGTCTTCACCATCTCATTGAGGCACCACCATTCACCAAGGTGTCTAAGCCAGAAGCCAGGAGTCAGCTGTCAGCCTCGGTTCCTCCCTTCTGACTCTCCACATCCAGTCTACCAGCAAGGCCTGACAGTTCTAGCTACAGAATGAATTTGATGTCCTGTTTCTCTGGACCTCCACTGCCCTACCTCAGTGTGGGCCACTAGCACTTCACCTGGGAGAGCCAAATCACCAACTCCAAGGCCCTGCACAATCTGGCACCTGCTTCTCTTCAGTCTTACCTTGTTCACTAGATTCTAGCCACAGTTGCCTTCTCTCAGTCCGTTGCACAGACCCAGCTCCCTCCTTCTACAGTCTTGGTACATGTTCTCTTTGCATGAAGTGCTCTTCATTTTTCTGTCTTCCTGGGCTTTGTCTCTCTCCTCTCCTGGAATGTAATAATTCCTTGAAGGCAGGAGCTGTTTCTGTCTTGTTCACCGTGGCATGCCTAGCACAGGGCCTGGCACATAGGAGATGCTTGAGAAACATTTATTATTGACAAGCAGGAGGAATAACGAGCAAAAGCCCATGGCAGGGTAACTTGAGGTATGTACAGGGCATGCAGAGGAGTCTAGTTTGGCAGAAGCAGAGAGTACTGTGGTCAGAGGTCTGCAGAAGGAAGTGATGTGTATAGAATCCTGAAAGGGAAGAGAGAGGCAGAAAGACAAATTACCATGTTATAATAGGGTACTTCAGCTGGGAAAAGACATAAAAATGAAGTGACAGCTGTCAAAGGTATTACTTTTGCAAGAAGCATTGATATGATTAGAAAACGCATTGTTGAGATCCTTTTGAGTTTCTGTAAGTCCTCCCTCCTTCCCCACACCACCGCTTTACATACTGAGGCCATCCTACATAAAGCACCTAAATGGTATATCCTCTCTCAAAACCCATTTCTTTTTTTTGGATCATTTTGTTAAGCACCATACATTACATCATTAGTGTTTGATGTAGTGTTCCATGATTCATTGTTTCCGTATAACACCCAGTGCTCCATGCAGAACGTACCCTCTTTAATACCCATCACCAGGGTAACCCATCCCCCCACCTCCCTCCCCTCTAGAACCCTCAGTTTGTTTTTCAGAGTCCATAGTCTCTCATGGTTCATCTCCCCCTCCGATTTCCCTCCCTTCATTCTTCCCCTCCTGCTATTTTCTTCCTTTTTTTTTTTTAACATATAATGTATTATTTGTTTCAGAGGTACAGGTCTGTGATTCAACAGTCTAGCACAATTCACAGCACTCACCATAGCACATACCCTCCCCAATGTCTTATCACCCAGCCACCCCATCCCTCCCACCCCCCACCACTCCAGCAACCCTGTTTGTTTCCTGAGATTAAGAATTCCTCATATCAGTGAGGTCATATGATACACGTCTTTCTCTGATTGACTTATTTCGCTCAGCATAACACCCTCCAGTTCTATCCATGTCGTTGCAAATGGCAAGATCTCATTCCTTTTGATGGCTGCATAATATTCCATTGTGTATATATACCACATCTTCTTCACATATCCTCTCTACTCTGATTCCCATCTATGAGAGCGTGAGTGGTGGATTAACTGCACCTCCATTCTTGTGCCAGAAAGAGAGAAGTAGAAGCTGGGTAAGCAGTGAGTCTGGTGTTCTACTTAACTGAACTTAGATTCTGAAGTGACAATTGGGTACATATCCATAGACAGATGGAAATGTAACTAAAACTTAGGAGACTGGTGGCTAGTGCTAAATCTTTAGGAGCTTTGGTGGATATGGATTGCCGAGGAAAAACATGTAGAGAGGAAAAAAAGCCAAGGATAAAATCTTGGGGCAAGTTAAGGGAGAAGAAAGAGGAAGGAAAGAGCAATCAGAGGTCAGAGACTCAACAAGGTGCTTATAAAAGCCTGGGGAAGAGAGAGGGCAAATGTCTTGTACTCTTTGAAACTTCTCCCTGTCAAGCCCCCTCCCAGATACAGTAGCACTTAGTTTGTGTGACTTATCACAGTGTAAATGTCATTCTCTAGACTTGAAACTCCTAAAGGTCAGAGACCTGGATTCACTGCATCTTTAGTATCCTAACTGTATCATCGTATCTTGGGACCCAGCCCAGTAAGTGGATCATAGTAGGTACTGGAAGTATCTTGGGAGGACCAGATAGTGTTCATCAGAAAAATGGAAGCAATATGGTGTTGCACATAAAGCCTGGACTTTGGAGTCAGATGGACCTGGAGTGGCACCAGTAGAGTGAAAAGTTGTAACTGCTGATGACAGGATGATTGACAGAGTGAGGCCTGGCAAGATGTGGGTAGGGACAGGATCGATAGCAAAAGTGGAATGGTAGAGACCTTGCCCTGGGAAAGACAGCGTTAGCTCCTTAAAGACGAGGAAGGGCGAAACTACAGAGATTTTAAGGTAAAGAGGGACACTGAATTCTCTGTCGGTTGGCCATTTGGTGAGTGTGATGGTGGCGTGGAATCCACAAAAGATGAACAGAAGGAGAGCTGAGCACAAGTGACCGACCGCTCGGCCAAAGTTTGATCATTTGGATCTGTTGTTGACTCATTTGACACAAATTTATAATTTGTTAGCTCTCTGCAGCAGCCTGAGAACAGAAAAAGGGAATGGGGAAAGTTGTCCAGAGTCAGAAGGGTGACAGGCATTGGGGATTCTAAGGTGGTAGGGAGTGTTTCCGTGTAATGGCTCACCGTGGGAAATCTAGAACAGTAATGTAAAGTCTAGGACAGTGGTTTTCAATCTGTTCCTTGGAACTCTAAGAATCCATCCCAGTGCCTGGGTAGGGGCGATGTTGGGAGCCTTCCTCTGATTTAACCAAGGTGGATTTTGATCTGTTTATTACTTACTGGAGTTCCAAGCTCTCATAAGAAGAAAGGGTTCTTTGGCTGAGACCAAAAGGTTTAAAAAACACTGGCCTTAAAAAAAAAGCAGGAGTGGAGGAGCTAAAGTTTCAAAGATGACAGGAGCAAGGAAGTGAAGGAGCAGTCCATGAATGGGGTTAGACTGCAAGCGTGCAGAGAATGGGAAAGGAAGCACAAGAACCTTATTCAAAGGACCGGTAGACTGACCCAGAATTTACCTTGGATTTTATACACTCTAAGGCCCTGGTAGGGTTTTTTTCCTGCTGTAGGTACATCCAGGAAAGAGGGTTGGGGTAGGAGTGGGACCAGAATTAATTGTCCTCAAGTGATACCTGTAATAGCATTTGTGAGCTAGGAGTTTATCTTTGTGGTGTTTTGCTCAGAGGCTACTGATGGTGGTGTTGTGACGGTTAGTTGTAACACCATATAAACTGTTTCACGTGTTGGGTCAAAGGATCAGAAGAGCCTAAAAAGTTGGTATAATAAAGAATGTCTCCAGAGCAGTGGTTCTTGACTTTTCATGGGTCATAGACCTTGTTGGCAATTTATAAAAACTACAGACCTCTCCTGGGCCAAAAAAAAAGTAGAATTCTGCATAAAATTTCAGGGAATTCAAGGCCCCCCTCCCCTTAGACTCTATCTGTGGACCTCAGGTTAAGAACTCCAGATTCGGGTGAACACCTGCAGAGGAGCATCTGATTCTGGACATCTAGTGTGGGGTTCCAGTCATAGGTATTTCAAAAGACTTCTCTTGGAAATTGTGGAACTTTTCCTTGACTCCTCTCTCTCCCCCCCCAAGCCCTTACATCCAGTACATCTGCTTTATATTTCAAGTCACTGTCTCTCATCTAGATTGTAGCAATATCCTCTTAATGGATTTCTCCGCTTCCATCCTTGCCTCCCCTCCCCCACAGTCTGCACTCCACACAACAGCCAGAGTGACCCATATAAAAAAAGTTTTCATGTCACTCTATTCATGTCAAGTATTCTATTCACAAGCTTCCCGTGGCTTTCCTGTCTCAAAATATCATGGTATTTGATATTTGGGGTCTTACAGCCTACAGGGTTCTACAAATTCTAGCCCTGGCTACCTCTCTTACCTCATTTACTGTCATTCTTCTTCACTCCATGCCAGCCACACTGGCCTACTTTCTATTTCTCAGACACTTCAAGCCAAGCTCTCTCCCACTCCAGGACCATCACATTTCTTTTTTCCCCCTGAGAACCCTCTTTCAGATACTGGCATGGCTTGCTTCCTCATTGAAGTCTTTGCTCCAACGTCACCTCCTCCTGATCACCTTGTATACAATAGCACTTCTACTTTTGTGCTATCATTCTGTCCACTTTACTTTGCTTTTTGCTTCTTCATGGCACTTACACCACCTGACTCATCATCTCTTTTTTTGGTTTCCACTAGAACAAGAGCTTCAGGAGAGCAAGGACTTTCTTGTCTACACCGCTGTGTGTCCAGCACTGAGAACAGTGCCTGTCACATAATAGGTACTCAGTAAATACTTTTCAAATGAATGAATGCATCCTGGAAAAGGCAGGCAGGATGGTTGTGAGTCTTTATATTGGGATGAGTCAGGGGACACCTGGCTGGCTCGGTCAGTAGATCATGTGACTCTTGATCTCAGGGTCATGAGTTCAAGCCCCATGTTGGGTGTAAAGCTTACTTTAAAAAAAATGTGATCGTACAGATAAAAGCACTTAGTATATAGCACCTTGTCCTTGAGAAAAATACAATAAAAGAGAGTATTTCCTTGGTTCAAACAACATGATTCCCTTAGTAGAAGGATGAGCCAGAAGAGCTAAGATTGTTTTGCCCAGAAGAGAAGAGATGACCACTTTTTTTAGGCTATTTCCCAAGGAATCCCTGTGTCGGTGGCAGGTAAACAACCCCTAAGATTCTGTGACTCTTTGAAGTGGTAGTTCCGCAATGGACATTGATACTAAGTATCCAACTTAGTACGGTTGACATACTAAAACTACTGCAGGACTCCCATCTCTAAAGATGATGGGAGGAGTTGCTCAGAGCCGGTTACTTCTGTATTTTTCTGGCTTCAGAAGGTATTTCACAGCCCCAGCTGATCCCTTCCTTGCCTTGGCAGTCTTGAGGACTTGCAGCCTTGGTGGTGAGTTCGGGGGTATAGAATCTGTATTTTTGCCAAAATGGAAACTGGCATACTTACCGCCTGGTCACTTGGCAAAGGTAAACTCTTATTGTGGCCTTCTTTGAAGGAATATCTCTTCATTTTTAAGTTCATGGGCAATGCTTTTCTATGGAACAGATACAAGCAGAAGAAGGAATTGGAGCATAGGTTGTCCGCACTGAAATCTGCTGTGGAAAGTGGTCAAGCAGACGATGAGCATGTTCGTGAATATTACCTCCTTCACCTTCGAAGGTGGATTGGTATCAGCTTGGAAGAGATTGAGAGCATTGACCAGGAGATGAAGATCCTGAGAGAAAAAGACTCCTCAGCAGAGGTAAGCCTGGCCGCTGCCTATCATAGAGCTCAAGAAGCTAGTGTCAAGAGATTGGAGTGTTCTACAGGAGAACCATCGCCTTAAAATCCTTTTTAAGTCTCCCTAAAATCATTGTCCTCATTAAGCTTAGTGGAGGAAGGCTGAAGGTTCACCAGGGTAGCTTTCTCTCTAGCTTGCAGTAGTGTTCCCCAGTGCTCTCTGACCTGTAACGCACTTCTGGCCATGTGTAATTTTGTGACCTAAATTGGTTTGGGCTGTGGGACGTCTGAGTGCTGAAGGAATGCATAGGAAGGTGGGCCTTTAAAATCTGTGCTTGACTATAATAACCAAAGGAGAAAGAGGAACGAGATGGGAACGGAGAGGGAAAGTGGCACTGGAGGAGGGAGAGAACAGTGTAGAAGGAAGATAAAAGGAACGATCGGGAATATATTTAGGTTGGGAGGAGGAATCCGAATTTAACCTTAACACAGTGATGCACTCTCACACCCTTAGATCCCCCAAGTATGAGACACAGAAGGACTTTTCCATGCACAAAATGTTGGGTATACTGATAAAGAAAACCTGGTGTGACACAGCTTTGGCTGTCTTTGAAAATCATCACCCTGTTTTGGAGCTGCTGCTTCAGAAGATTAGGCTCTGCTGCCACTTACTTTTTGGTTCAGGATACAAACGTGGATTGAGTTGAATTTATCAGCTCGCCACAGGCATTTATTTAAGTCCCCAGAGAAACCTCTTCCTGATTTGATTTGTACTAATTAGCCCAGGAGCTTAGGCCTCCGGGTAACATCAACCTCACTCCTGTTAAAGGATCCAAGAATAAGCAATTAGTATTCTAAGGCCGTAAGGCCCTTAGAGCATATCTAGGTGAATGGCTTTCGGGCATTTTGAGGCTGGACTCTTCGGGTCCTCCCCTGCCCTGTTCGTTGTTGTTGTTTAATGCTGTCTTATTTGGTATGGGAATTGGCTCTGGAAGTGATGAACCTACAACCAAGTGAACACCTTTTCTCTGATCGTACTTTTGTTTCCGCATGCCCCTGGATAGCCAAGGTTCCTTCAAACATTTCTATATGCCACTATGTGAAAACTACCAGCACATTCTTCCCCCTTGCCTTTACGAACACCCTCTTCTAAAAACCTAGATGGGTTCTTGACAATTAATTGCATAGTTACATCGGAAGGGGGTTTTAGAAGAGGGGTCCTAATGATTCTGCTTTAGCACTCAAGGCCAGGCTGAGGAAAGGGACTTCAGCTTCAGCTCAAGGGATTTAGCTGGACCATGGAAAAAGCCTTTGGAATCTCCTTCTCTGGAGGGGAAGATTATAAAGCCAAGGAGTTTTTTTACTTTTGGTGAGATGATCTCTGGGAGAGCTTTCTACTCCTTTTCATTCAGCAGGGTACTCTGGCCTCCTCAGGAGAGCTCAGCAGCCTTCACCATTAGTATTCTGCTGCTATCTCTGAGAGACTGAGGGATAGGGAGTGGGCAAAGTTTGAATCCAGGGCTTTTCCAGCACCTGAAAACTTAAGAGCCTGCATAATGGGGTAGGCAGAATGGCAAAAATGCACTTCTGATAACTTAATTTCCTTTCCAGGCATCAACTTCTCATTCACCTCGTCAGGACAGGCCTCCAATGAAACCCTTTGTTCTCACTCGGAATGCGGCCCAAGCCAAGTAGGTAGTACTAAAAAGTGGGTTGCCTTTGTAGGCCCCCTGCTTTTATGGCTCAGTTGCAGTGCATGAGTAATGGACAGAATGGGCATTGTTAAAAGGCCACGTCCTCGCCTGTGGTGGCTGTTCTTTCATCAGAGGGATGTTATCTCTAATACTTTCTGTATGTCTCTCTTCATCAGACATTTCTCTCACAAACTCAAGCTTAAAAATAGGCCCAAAAGAAAACCAACAAAAATAAATAACTCAGAAAGAGGAAAGGAATCTAATGGAGAATTGCCTACTTCAATTGTTTCCCATTATTGCCTTCAGCAGCAATTCTCAGAAGGACATATTTGCCTACTTAGGATTTAATTCTGAGTTCTTGAGATGCTCTTCCATAGGGTGGCAGGAAAGTCTCCTTCCTCTGTGTACCTTTTAGACCCACCAACTATAAAGACCCCTTCCACGTTGTCATCACTGCTTTGTGGGACATTGGCCTCTGGGATTGCTTTCTGGGCGGTGATCCTGAGCTATTATCTTCTCATGAAAGCTCTTGACTTTAATGCACCTTCCTGGATGCCTCTTTTTACATATCCTCACGGGAGTTTACACAACTCCTCAGAAGATACCTGGGCAGGGGAACAAGGATGAAACAGACACAGGTTTTGTCACTAAAGAGAAGAGGCTTTTTAGTAGCGCTATTTATGTTTAGTTTTCTAAATGTAATGTGATTCTTGCAGAGTATTTGGAGCTGGTTATCCAAGTCTGGCATCTATGACGGTGAATGACTGGTATGATCAGCATCGGAAATTTGGAGCATTACCAGATCAGGGCATAGCCAAGACACCACCAGGTATGAAGGGGTAGGAGGAAAGTAGTTATACTCTTGGTTCCTTGCTCACGAGCAATTAAATTCTGACCAAGTACTGTTGCCCTTTAGGAGCAGAAGTAATCTGGACAAAGATTCTAGGCGATATTTCCTTTTTTTTTTAAGATTTTATTTATTTATTCATGAGAGAGAGAGAGAGAGAGGCAGAGGGAGAAGGAGGCTCCCTGCTGAGCAGGGAGCCTGATGTGGGACTCGATCCCAGAACCCTGGGATCATGACCTGAGCCGAAGGCAGACGCTTAACCATCTGAGCCGCCCAGGCACCCTAGGCGGTATTTCTTATTTTATTTATTGTTAAGATAAATAGCAGATGATTCTGGGAGGATGGGAGCAGCGGCTGCATAATTTTGGAATCCTTCCAGATGTCCTGGCATTAAAAACAGACTAAGCAGCTAGATAGCAAAAGCCAAATTCCCATGGAGGGCAGTTCCACTCTGGTAATGGCAGAGTAGGTTGTACCAAGGCCAGTCCCTCCCACAGATAACAGTTACAAACTGAAGAAATTAAAACAACTACCCAAAGGAACTAGAGAATGGCCAAGAGCAGACACAGGCTGGAGGGCAGTCAACACTTAGGTGGCCATTATGAAGATGGAAGCAATACGGTATATTAGAAAAAGGACAGACAGACCTGGGGTAACCAATTATTCCTGCCACTTAATAGATAGGACATCATCTAGCCCCTCTGAGCCTCTGTTTCCTTATCTTGTGTATTACTGCATTTGACCCTCTTCACAACCCTGTGAAGCAAGCATTCTTATCCCCGTATTAGGATGAAGAAATGGTGTCTGAGAACTGACTTACACAAAGTCAACATAGCTAGAAAGTGGCCAGGCTAGGATTTGAATTCGGGTCTTAAAATTTCCAATTCCAGGACTATTTCCACTCTAGCACAGAGAAGAGAAGAGTGGTCATTTGGAAGGGTTGCCTGTTTCTTACAGCTTCTCACCCATTGGCAGTCTGCAGTCATGGTGATGTGGGGGTAGGTGAAACTTAGAAACGTACAGTCTTACTGGTTAGGAAATGAGAGAAATGAGACGCTATCCCATAAAGGAGAAAACCACAGAGGAGGAGCCCTGATTCTCTATATACACCTCGCCTAAATCTCAGGCTGACACCTAAGCTATGCATGCCCGGGATATACTCCAAGCATCCTAGCTGGGGCTAAAGTAACTGAATGGAGGAGTCAGCTGCTGCCCAGTGCAGAGGAAAGAGAATTTGGAATTTTGGTACTAGACAAATGAACTGCCTGCTAAAATGGAAAATCAGTACTCTTTAGAGGAAAGAAACAGAATTCAGAGTCTCTGCAACATAAAATTCACAAAGTCTGGGGTTTAATCCTAAACCACTATTACATATGGGGGAAAGAAAAATAGGAAAACGTGACTTACACTCAAGAGGAAAAGCAGTCAGTGGAGACCAACCCTAGACGATGCAGATGTTGAAATTCGCAGACAAGGACTTTAAAGCAGCTTATTTGCATGCTCAAGGGCAGAGGGGAAAATATGCTTGAATGAAAAGAAATCTCAGCAGGTAATGTCTAATATAATTTTATATTTACAAACATACCTGCTGCCCCGAGGCAGGTATTAATTTCAGTCCATGTGGACTATTGACCCCTCTTGAGATTACAACATACACATTCCTAAATCATTATGGGTAGACTTAAAAGTATCTTAACTTGTTTCTGGACATGTAACATGTTTATAAACCTCTTAATTTTTAGCAGCAGTTAGAAAACACCTCCTATTAAAAACACTTCACAAGTTCTACTTAGTGTCAGCCATTGTTGGCAGTCTGTCACTAGAGAATCCAGCAATATCTGGTATGTTACAAGCTCTCAGGATAGCCTGAACTTCAAAAAGTTGTATCTGATGGATGTAAATTTGCCTCCTAGTTCACTCTGAGTCAGGAGCTAAAACTGTGAGCCTAACTTTGTCTTATTGGTGGGTAATAACTGAAAATAAAGATTTTATTTTCATGCTCAAAAAAAGAAACAAGGAAAAAAAGAGGAATAGCAGCAGCAAATTAGGAACTGTACACAAAAAATTCTGAAACTGAAAAAGACAATATCTCAAGTTTGGAAACCCATTAGATGAACTTAATAGCAAATTGGCAGTGGCAGAAGAAGGTGTCATTTGACTCAAAGATAGACCAGTACCAGTTAGACAGTCTGAAAAACCAAAAATTGGAAAACAGTGAAACAGAGCCTCTGTGACCTGTGGAATAAGGTAAGAAGTTCTATCATATGTACAATTGAAATAACAGTAGGAAAAGAGAGAGAGAAAGAGAAGGGGCCAGGAAAAAAATTGAAGAAATGATGGCTGAAATGTTCCCTAAATCAGTGAAACACAAATTTGCAGATTCAGAAATCTAATCAAGCCCCAAGCAAGTTAAATGCAAAGAAAACCACGTATAGGCACATCGTAGTCAAACTGCTGAAAACCAAAGAAAAAGAGAAAATCTTGAAAGCAGCCAGGGATAAAGTACACGTTACACTTAGAACAGTGATATGAGTTGTTTCTGACTTCCCATTAGAAACAGTGGGAGCCAGAGACAGTGGAACAACAACGTCTCATAAGTGTTGGGGGAGGGAGGAAGACCTGTCACCCCAGACTTTTATACCCAGTGAAAATATCCATAAAAAATGAAGGCATAATTAAGACATTTTCAGATAAAGCTGAAGGAATTCTTCACCAGGAAACTGGCTTTACAAGAAATTCTGAAGGAAGTTCCTTAGGCTGAAGGGAACGAACTACGTATAGCTTCTTCAGGCAAAAATTATAATACCGTCCAGTGGGGATTATACCGTATGTAGATATAATACATATGACAGCCGTAGCAAAAACGATGGACTAGATGGAACCATTTTTTGGGAGCTTCTCTTGTTTTATGGAAAGTGGTACATAGTATCTATTGCTGTGTAACAAATTACTCCAAGATGTTGCAACTTAAAATAATAAACATTTATTGTCACATATTTTCTGAGGGTGAGGAATCCAGGATCAACTTCACTGGGTGATTCTGGCTTAGGAGCTCTTAAGGTCGCAGTCAAGCTGTCAGCTGGGGCAGCAGTCTTTTGAGAGCTTGACTGAAGCTGGAGGATCTGCTTCCAGCTCATTGGCTCATTCCTGTGACTGTTGGCAGGAGGCCTCCCCTTGTGGATCCCTCCATGGGGTCGCTCACAGCTAGGAGCTTCCTTTGACCCAGAATGAATGATCTGAGTGAGAATGATCAGGATAGAAGCCCCAGTATCTTTTATAATCTAACATTGGAAGTGACATACTGACTTCTGCCATATTCTGTTGGTCACATAGTATGGGAGGGGACTCCATAAAAGCATGACTACCAGGAGGCTGAGATAGTTGGGGTCCATTTTTGAGGCTGCCTCCCACATGGTTCAGTATTAACTCTTAAGTAGACTGGAAAGTTAGGAAGGAATATTGTATTACCTAGAGCAACCACTTAAAAAATAATGCATCAAGGGGCACCTAGGTGGCTCAGTCGGTTTGAGTGTCCAACTCTTGATTTCAGCTCAGGTCATGATTTCAGGGTCATGAGATCAAGGCCTGTGTCGGGCTCATGCCCTCTGCTTGGGGTCCTCCCTCTCCCTCTGTCCCTCCCCCTGCTCACACTCCTTCCCCCCCAATAAATAAACAAATAAAATCTTTTTAAGAAATAATGCATCAAGAGAATAAGAAGACAAGCCACAGACTGGCAGAAAATATTTACCAAAGACACATCTGATAAAAGACTTTTATCCAAAACATACAAAGAATTCTTAAAACTCAACAATAAGGAAACAGACACCCCCCAATTAAAAAATCGGCAGAAGACCTGAATAGACACCTCACCAGAGAAGATCTACAGAGGGCAAATAAGCGTATGAAAAGAAGCTTAACATCGCATGTCATTAGGGAATTGCAAATTAAAACAACAATGATACCACTACACCCATGTAAGAATGGCCAGAATGCCAAACACCGACAACACCAAATGCTGGTATGGAAATGGAGCAACAGGGACTCTCATTCACTGCTGATCGTGATGCCAAGTGATACAGCCACTTTGGAAGACAGTTTCTTAGAAAACTAAACATTCTCTTACCGTACAATCCAGCCCGTCCTGCTCCTTGATGTTTACCCAAATGAGTTGAAAACTGAGGTCTACGCAAAATCCTGCACAGAGGTGGTTATCGCAGCTTTATTCATAATTGCCAAAACTTGAAGCAACCAAGATGTCCTCAGTAGGTCGAATGGATAAAGTGTGGTACGTCCAGACAATAGAATAGTATTCAGTGCTAAAAAAAAAAAAAAAAAGCTATCAAGCCATAAAAAGACATGGAAAAACCTTAAATACAGATTTCTTAAGTGAAAGAAGCTGATCTGGGAAGCTATATGCTACATGATTCCAACTATAGGACTTTCTGGAAGCAGCAAACCTGGAGAGACAGTAAACGGATCAGCAACTGCCAGGGGTTAGAGGAGGAGGAGGGACAAATAGGTGGAGCACAGAGGATTTTTAGGGCAGTGAAACTATTCTGTATGATGGTATAACAGCAGATACATGTCATTATATACATTTTTCCAAACCCACAGGATGTACACCACCAAGAAAGAACCCTGTTGTAAATTACTATGGACTTGGGACAATACTGATGTGTCAGTTTGGGTTCATTGATTGTAACAAATGTACCACTCTGCTACAGGATGTTGAAAGTGGGGGAAGCTATGCCTCTATGGGGGCAGGGAGCGTATGCAACACTGTGTATTTTCCATTCAGTTTTACTGTGAACCTAAAACTACTCTTAAAAAGTAAATTCCGCTTTAAAAAGTAAGGCAAAGAGACAAAGCTTATAAAGTCAATAGACAAAATAAAAGAAGAAAGCAAACAAGAATGAATAGAGAGGCAAAAAAAAAAAAAAAAAAAAAAAAAAAAAAAAGTAAAAAAAAAACAAAAAACAAAA